AGAGAGAGACTTCTTGGGAAGCAGTAGCTGTTTAAAACCATGGCTACTGAGAATCGATGTTATGGGCCTTCCTATTTCCTCATGCTGAAAGAAGATTACATTCTCTGTATATTTAAAATACTCATTGCTTTTTAATTTTGTCAACATATGGTTTCTGTGCCTAGATGCTTGTCATAATAATTCTGCATCTATTAACATGTTTCTTGTCCACTGGGCTGATAAAATAATACTTTGCAGAGCCAACATGAGTTGTAGTTTCACGAATTCTTTCACTACACAGAATGAGGTTAACTTATTAGCTTTTCTATTTAAGTCTAAGTTGGTACTTGAAAACATTATTGCAAAGATTGTTTTTTAAATGTTCATTTTTAATACAGGGTGCAAAAGGTGAAAAGGGGAATGCTGGCTTCCCTGGCCTTCCTGGACGCGCTGTGAGTTTGATAGAATGAACATTCTTGAGTATTTTACTTTAAATAAAAAGCATCTTATAGTATCTTTCTTTAAAAAGAAAAATTAGTGCCAAAATATATTAAAACACATGTATTTATTTTTTCAGGGAGAACCAGGAAGACATGGAAAGGATGGATTAATGGGTAGTCCTGGTTTTAAGGTATTTATAAAACAATTACAAAACAAAGATTTTTATACATGAATGGATGTTTAAAAACATACCAATATTAGAATTTTTTGCAAATGGCATTAGGATAAAATTAATGGGCTAAAATTTTTAGTGTAATTTTAAAATGATACCAAATTTATTTGTGTTTATTTTGAACTCTTGTATGTTAGAAATGAAATCACAGGTTGTTACAAAGTTGAACTTCTTTGATAAACCCTTCAGATTGGTAGAGGCAGAGGTTCTTAGCTTTGTCTCCCAAGGCATTAAAGTTTCAGGGGGGAAAAACTGTCCCCTTAACACTGAGGACTTCTTTATCAGTTGTGTGGAATGAGTATGAGAGAATTAAAGTAAGAGGGAACTGCCAAGTGCCAATCATTCACCATCCCTGAAAAAACTCAAAAGCATATGCCCTTATGATTGTGGGTTAGCACCATCATATTCTTACAGTTTGGACTTAGCTGATTTGAATACCTAAGGAGAAAATTTGTGTAATACACCAGAGCTGAAGAGGCCACTTGGTTAAGCATTGGATTTAGGGATATGTCTCCTAATAGTCAATACTTTGAAGAACCAAACTTGCTCAGAAATCCAGTCCAAATTTTCTTGGTCTGTAGTTGTCGTCTCTTCCTTCGGAAAAATTGCCCATTTCTTTGCTTCATGTACTATGGAAGTTCTCCAAATATCCATTATTCTTCAAAAGACGGTGCTTCCTAAGATAACAGTAAGCTGAATATAAAAATGAGTTTACAGCTTTGCCGATATATAATTGATATACCATAAAATTCACCCATTTAATATATACAATTCAACAGTTTTTAGTATATTTACAGAGTTATGAAACCATCACTACAGTCTATTTTTTGAACATTTTCATCACCCAAAAAGAAAACCCCATACCCATCTAGTGGCCACTCCCCATTTCTCTCCAAGCCACTGCCCCCCACCTTCAACCCTAGACAACTGTTACTTTCTGTCAGTATGGATTTGCCTCTTCTGGACATTTCATATAAATGGAACCATACTACATGTGGTCTTTGTTGCTGATTTCTTTCACTTTCCATAATGTGTTCGAGGTTCATTGATGCTTTGGCCTGTATCAGTACTTCATTCCTTGTTAATGCTGATAATATTTTATTGTACGGATATATCATGATATTTAACATTTTGAGGTCAGTTCACTCTTGATACTTGCTTTTCTGATAGTCTCATGACACCCTTCATATTTAATCCTGGTTATGTCTTCTAATTTCTAACTAGTGTGGATCTCCTAAAAGTAATTAGGTTTATTCTGTTTTGTTTGTTTGTAAATTTTTTACTGGAATCTTTTGTAAATTTCAAAAAGGGTATGTACTTTTTTGTTTATATAGACTTTATTTTTTTAAAATAGTTGTAGGTTCACAGCAAAATTGACATGAAATTTTTCTAGAAGGGATCACAGATTCT